AGCAATGCATGATTTAGTTTAATGTTAGACATACATATTTTTTAGCCCAACCATAATATGGCAGAGCCGGAGTTGCAAGTGGATGAGGTTGATCGACGTGTTGGGACCGTCCTGTTTTCAGGCCAGCAAGAAATCTTTTGGGGCTCTAGAAATTTTCTCTATTTCTTTTTGGGTTGGTTTTGTTTCAGGGTTTTAATTTTTTATTATAATGTTTTGTAATTCTTGATATACTATTAAAATTTGGATCATTTTTCAAATTATATAACATTTTTTACACATTCATGAACTTGCTTTGAATTTTCAGAACACTTTTTTAAAATTGGAACATATTTTTCATTCATAAAACTTTTAAATTCGTGATCATTTTTTAATTCATATTTATTTTCTAAAATTCCTGATTTTCTAAATTATAAATATTTTAAAACTTCAGAAAATTTTATTATGCAGTTTTCTGTTTTTAGCAAGCTCAAGAAAAATGATAAAAAAACAGCAGAGAAGCCCATATATATAGCTAGCTATCCCTATGTAGACCGGCCCATTTAGCACAGTGAAGGGAATATTTTCGAATACACACTACAAACTACGTTGGTATTTTTATTAGACAGTGAAAAGATTTCTAATATAATTTGAGCTTTCTTTAATATATGAAGAACATATTTTCGGCATATTTGAACAAATTTTTAAACTAATAGTAAAAATCAAGATTTTGAATTAAAGTTTTTAATAGGGTTTTCCATATTCATGTATACTTTTTGAAAATCTGAACATTTTTCAAACTTGTGAAAAAAATCGAACTTCTAATAATTTCAGTTTGATGAATACTGTTCTTGCAATTGGAAACATTTTTTAAGTCTTTGGACAATTTTCAAATTTAGGAGTATTTTTTAAAATCCAAGATTTTTTTCTAAATTCATGGATATTTTTGAAATTTGGAGAAATTTAGAATTCTGGAAAAAATGATATTTCTTAATATTTTTTGCATTATGGAACAGTTTTAAAAAAATCAGGAACACTTTTAAAATTTTGAATATTTTATAGATTCCCAAACAATTTTTAAAACTTTAAACAAAAAACTCGTGCAGAATTAGCCCATGACATTGGCGCCTGCGTTAGGTGTCACCTGCATTGTTTGATGCCAATAGGGGTCGAACAAGAGGTATCGCAATGGGTACCCGATTGCTCGCCCAAAACGTGGAGGTTGGGGAGTATGAGCACTCAAAGCATCTCTAGCAGATCCTGTAAAAAAACTCGTCCGCTAAAATAACCGCCAATATAGCGGACAGGGATGTTTTTTCCGCCTGGAACAAATCTGGTATAATCAGCCATCCTCTAAACTTTTTGCGGGGTCTGGCAAATTCCGGGCCGAATCCACCATATCTATGGTTTCTCTCCCTCTTTTTGCCGGTTCCTCTATCCCTCCCGCTTGTAGGCGCGAAGGAAGTTTCAACTCGCGCGCCCTTCCCCGCCGCAGCCGCCGCCGCATCTCCCAGTCGTCTCTTGTTGACCTCGGATGTCCCGCACCATCTAGTAGCTCCAGCACCCACCGCCGCACCTTCTCCACCAATTTTGGAGGCCATGGTGCCCATTTTCCCCCCGAGGGAGAGCAGCCGCTGCTGGCGCCATGGATCCGCCCTGGAGCTTGCCACGTGGCCTTGTAGTGGGCAGATCCGATTGGTTCCGACGCCGGTGAGCCTTGAAATCGGCCAACGGACAGCCGCGCGTGCCGGTCTGGCGGATTTGGGCCCGCGGTGAAGAAGGGGCTTGGCCGATTTGCTTGGGCCGGCGTCGGAGAAGAAATGGGTGGCAGCTCACTGGATTCTGGCCGGCGGAATTGCATCCGGGGAAGGTAAATTCAATGTAATTTATTGATTCAATTTTGACCAACAAGATTTAAGAAAAATTATAGGCGTGCATTCATTTTTTAGAGGGATGCTTGGAGTTCGTCGTCATCGTCTTCATTGGATGATTCTAACATAGAGGGGATGATTTTAGACGATGATGTTGACAACCTAGTGTTGTTGCATCTAGTGGACATATTTGAAAAGGCCCGAAGAGAAAGCGCCCTGAATCCATAGTTGTTCGGCTTTGCATTCTGTGCAACCGTGCTCTTGGCGACAACATGCTATGAAGGTCAACTTCGCCGAGGTGCCGACATATCCACCTCAATTGTTCCACAGGCGATATTGAATGCTAGGTCCCTTTTCGTTCGCATTGTTGAAGATTGTGAGCAAATTTACCGTTTTTCACTCGCCAAAAGATGCCACCGGTTTACTTGGGTTTAGTGCATATCAAAAAATATCGGTAGCGATGAGAGTGACTGCATATGGCATTCCCGCCGACTATACCGATGAATATCTTCGCATTAGAGAAGAATTTTCAAAGCTCCGGTTGTGGTACCACGAGGCCTCCGGTGCGGAACAGATCCTGTAAACTCACCCCATAAATGCTTTACCAGATCTGTTCCGCCGAAGGCCTCGCGGTACCGCAATTTTTGATAGGCTAAATATGCTCTCACACGGATCTTGTGAGACGGTGTGTTTTACCGGATCTGCTAAATATGCTTCATAGGGTGATCTCCCGATGTGGACGGAGGAGATAGCGTTCGTTTATTTTTCTGTTGTATCCGTGGAGAACGAAGCATCACCGGGCAGATGCAGCCCACAACAACTAAGTCGAAACACTGCCAGCTAGTTAGTATACCTTCGATTGGTATTTTATACACTATAAAGTACACTAAAAAATGTTCTTTTTTTTCAGCAGCTGCTTTATTTTCCAGTCATAGTTGTATTAGCACATGTTCATAAAGAAAAGGTCTATTAGAACATGTTGTGAAAAATCATAGCCACGCGGTTTCTAAATTGTAAAATCCAAAACATGACGCATTTATATATTTTTGTCAGTCAATGATGCCATCTTCAAATTAAACTAAGAGCCCATGTAAATGGTATAAATCGGAGAAGCCCGGAACTGAGAACATGGCACAACTTTTTTAAACTGCAACTGTCCCCACTAGTAGAAAACAGGGCTTTGGTCACAGGGCAATATTCACATTAGTCCCTGGACTAATGTGAGCATTGGTCCTGGTTCGTGCGGCTAAGGCATTAGTCCCGGTTCACCTGAGCCCTTTAGTCCCGGTTTGAGACACGAACCGAGACTAAAGGGTGCGATGCCCTTTAGTCCCAGTTTGTGTCTCAAACCGGGACTAAAGATTAGACCTTTAGTCCTGGTTTGAGACACGAACCGGGACTAAAGGGTGCGATGCCCTTTAGTCCCGGTTTGTGTCTCAAACCGGGACTAAAGGTCCCATTTTCAAACTCTACCCCCTCCCCCCTGGATCGCCTTTTTTGTTTTGAAAAAATCAAAAGAAAATGATTAAAACTTGAAAAAATAGGTAGTTATATTACTACATCTACTAGTTAGGAAAATTTAAAAACTTAAATTTGGACATGTTTTGCAAAAAATGTAGGGAAAATGTAAAACGGCTATAACTTTTGTATACGATGTCGGAAAAAAACGTATAATATATCAACATGTTTAGAACGAAAACCCGCTTCCGATTTTGACAGCCTACGGCTTGTTTGCAAATTTTTAGAATCCTCAAATTCTAAAAGGAAAAAAAGTTATGCTCAAATTTCAGTTTTTTTTTGTATTTTCGTTAAATCTGGTCAAACTATGGTCAAACTATTTATTAGTGTTACTAAATAATTATTCAAGAATATTAGTGTTACTAAATAATTATTTCAGTTTTTTTGAATTTTTGTCAAATCTGGTCAAATTGTGGTCTAACAATGGTCAAACTACTTATTCAATAAATATTAGTGTTACTAAATAATTATTTCAGTTTTTTTGAATTTTGGTCAAATTTGGTCAAACTATTTATTCAAGAATTATTAGTGTTACTAAATAATTATTGTTTTGTATAATAATAGTTTCAAACTCGAACAGTGAAATGTGTGACTTCATGCTCAAGCTAAACTCCCGAGGGTTAATAGGATTGACATCTTACTATTGTCAGGAAAACAACAAGTGCAGACTTGGAAACGAAGGAGAATAGAACCTGAAAGTTAAGCGTGCTCGGGCTGGAGTAGTGAGAGGGATGGGTGACCGGTCGGGAAGTTAGATGATTTGGAATGATGAGGGGTGATTAGAGATTTGAGGTTAAATTGAGCGGTGATGAGGGGTGGGTGATTAGAGATTAAATTATAAAATAATTCGGAAATTTGAAAATCGAGAAAAAATTTCAAAAAAAATTACCTTTAGTCCCGGTTGATGTTACCAACCGGGACTAAAGGTGGAGCTGTTGGAGCTCTAGCCAGCGGCCACGTGGAGGGGGGGGGGGGGCTTTAGTAACGACCCTTTAGTCCCGTTTCTAAAACCGGGACAAAAGGCCCTTATGAACCGGGACTAATGACTTTTTTTCTACTAGTGCCCTATGATTCGCGACAATTGAAAGGATGGCTAGAAAAAATTCTCAGTGCAAAATGAAACTTCTTAGAAAAATATTATATCATTTGTGCCGAATGTTCATCTATTTCAACCAAAAATATCCACCTGGATTCTGAAAATAGTTAACAAAATAAGAATTTTCAAGGAAAGGTTGAAATGGTTGCAATATTTTGTGAAGTATGTTATATGATCTCAAATTAATGCTTCACTAGATTTTGAGAAGAATTTTTAGCAGTCAAGAGAAGAAGCAAACAAAGCATATATATAGGACAAAAGAACGACAATCTAAGGTCGACGTGGCATCCAACCACATTTGGACATAGGTATTTTTACGTTGAGACCTCATTCATTAGTTCTTACTAATGCCCTAGGGCTTACTACAAGTTTCCGGGCACGAAATAAATAAATAGTGGTCATAGCCATTTATAATTAACTTTTTTACTTAAGTTGTACTACAATATACACATATCCAATCAATCGGTGCAAGTTGCCTAAGAATCTGGTGGCACCTATATGGGTTGTAGCATTAGATTATGTTCTTGTCTCCTAGGGTCCTAGCCTACGAAATCATGCAGCAGCTCAGACCCCATGAGGTTCCTGTACGGTAGCACCATGTCTTCCCCCTCAGCTCCAATCATGAGCGACGATTGTTGTTGCATGATCATCGCCGGTGAAGCAAACGCCTGTTGCTGCTGGAGTCCCAAGGTAAGCGACACCACGCCGCTGCCGCTATCACTGCGCAAACTTGGGTAGCCATGGAGAAATTTCCCGCCGTCCACAACCAGGGAGGATGGGATGAAGCAGTCACCAGGGTTGTTTCTGCCGCTAAGGCGATGGCAATTTTGATCTCCTGTTATCGTAACCGTCGTGCATGCTGCCAAGTTGTTGTTGTGATGATCCGTGGGAGCAGGTTCGCCTCTGCCACTGCTAGTGCCACCGTCGTCATGTTGTATGGTTTCTTCCGCGTACATCTCCTCTATCATGGGCTTCCATAGCCTAACCCTTGCATTGATGAACCAGTTGGAAACCTAGAAAATGAACTAGGTTCTACTAGTTAAGTGTAGAGTTATCATACATTCATATTCACAACAAAAAAAATTATGAAAAAGATTAAGGTAGTTCTATGGTGCTCATGTTTGAATAACAGACCTGGCTTCTTGATAACCCGGATTGGCGCGCCAGAATGTGCTTGTCTACGTCATTCGGATACCTGTTAATTCACATAGTTCTGTTCAATTCATTTTGCCAAGTACCTTCCCTTTTATAGTTTTCAGTTGGTTTTTTTTTAAATAACAGTCGCCTAAAATTGCACTCTTTGGAGTAGGGAAACTTTAGTGAGATGGTGGCACAACTTTCGTTTATAAGTTCTATAGAGTAAGTATTTGGACATGAGGATAGTTTGATGTTGAAGATGGAGAAAGATTGTTTGGAACACACGTACGGGTGGAGGAAGTGCTCGAAGAGCCACGAGCGGAGGACGGCGACGGCGCGCTCTGGCAAGCCGCGCTGGGGCCGCCACGGACAGCTCTCAATGGCGGCACCACCACCATATTGCTGGAACGCCCTTTGCCGCCTCAGGCATTGGTCCACAACCCTTAGCCTCGGCGTGTCCCCTTTTGATGCACCCGGTGCTACCAACATGCCGTCGGCATCCCTGCTCTCCCCCATTGACTTCTTCAAAGTTCGTATCTGCCCCACGAGCGCATCCCTCAGGCACCGGAAGTGGCGTGACATGGCACGCATCGCCATCTTCGTGTACACTTGTGCTGCCCCCACGCCGGCCACAGCCTCGAATGACATCTCTGTCGCCCGCATTTTCTCACGGTATCGCCAGTAGCACCTGTCCACCTTCATAATACATGATACCAGTTGAATTCATTGATAATGAAGCTAGGATCCTTCTTAATTTAGTTTAGGATAGTTATACTCTCTTGCTGTAGCTAGCAATTATCACTACAAATGTCATCTTGATTTCTGGCATTTACACATCACTAAATGTTTAATCATGTGGGTGACACAAAAAACAACACGACTACAATTTTTTTTACCAAAAAATACATAACCAGATGCAGCTCCGTAAACAAGAATCAGGACCAGGAAATTAATTAAGGTGAGAATACATAAGTGAATTTATTAGAAGTTGCTTTGTCAATTGCATATAGCAAGATGCCTAGATAGGATGAAAAGTTGTATATAAGAGTGATGATAGAAACTTCAGAAACTGTATCTATCACTTATGCAATGTATGCCAATGTCGACATATTTATGGGATTCGCTTCGGGGAAAAGTCACCAAAGTAAGTGCTCGCAAGAAAATAACAGACTCAAAAAGTTGCATGTCAGGGTGAGAGCTAGCCATGGCTCTGTAAATTAATCATAAGACCGACCGAGTAGGCAGTAACTAACTAGTAACAAGAACAATAGTAGGCTTGTGTGTGTACCAACCTCCTCAATCATGGACAGGAGCCTGGCCTTCCTCCTCTCGAGCGCCATGTAATCCATGGAGCTCACAGACGGATTGGCGCCCCATGGGCCACATGCCGGTGACGACGCCTCCACTTCACCGTCCTGCTTCGGAGCTCGCATCATCGCGCCGCCGTTCATGGCATCACCTTCGAGGTTGCAGAACTCGCTGAGCAGCTCCCTCGCGGGGCCCAGGTACCTGGAGCTATTTAACCGGAAGGGCGGCTGCTGCATGGGCATCATGGACGGCGGCGCCACCGTGAAAGGTTGCAGCTCATGCTGGCCGACCGTGTCGTAGAGAGAGAGCGTCGACGATTGCGGCAGCCATGACCTGTCATCGGCACCTCCGAATCGCGGAGGCATGTCCTCGTGGAGTGGGGCGAAGACGCCGTGGTGGTCGAAGGCCATGGCCATGGCGGCAGGGTTAGGAGTCACCGGCGACGAGGAGGAGAAGCCGAGGAGGTGGTGGTGGGGTTCATGGGACGCCATCATCAGTATGTAGCACAGCTGTAAAAGTATGCCTGTGTGAGAGAGAGCTAACTAACTACTACTGCTTGCAAGTATATATGTATGTATATCATAGAGTATATAGCATAGCTTTTGTGTAGACATGCATGCATGAAGAGGGGAGAATTGCAAGCTAAGGGTTGAGAGAGAGACAGAGAGAGAGAGGACTGCTCTTGCTTTACATTTATGCAGGCACTTGTGTGGTCTCGGTGGATCCTAGGAATAAGTTTGTATGGATATGCATCAATATCATCTACATGCACACCGATGTGCGTGTGAATGACAGAGGGTGCATCTTAGCTTTTGCCACTTTGATGAACCTAACTACTTTCATATCATCTTGGCCATACTTATGCTCTCGTTGTTCTGGTACTGCAAGTGTACTGATAATAGTGCTGAGAAAATTATATTACGGAACTAAAATGGGGATTTTCCATGGTCCGAGCAAAGTATGGTGGTACTAGTACCATTGTACATAACATGCACATATTTTTCCACTGAATTTATTCGCTTTCTGCATCAATGGACCAGTTCTCTTGCAGCTACTTGCAGCCTCTTGTGGTCCAAACATATTGGATTGCGACACAATGTATTTTTCTCCTCATTAAGCAGTAGGTAGGTTTCTCATCCCAATTAGTGGATGTGTCGTTATGTATATATGAGCCACATAATTAAGGAAAATCTTTCAAAACATTGAAAAACCATATGTCAATTGTCAAAGGTTCCTGTAGGCTCATAAATGATATTTTACTGTATACTGAAAGGATCATATAACTAATAATACGGTGCGGATTAATGGAGCAGTCATTACTCACTCTGTCCAAAATATAAGGCATGGTGTTATATTTGACGCTAAATTTTAGAATTTCTATTAATAATATATGCGGGAGTATATGGGTTGAGCTCCCTGTAAGATTAACATCATTGTATGTGTCATGCAAAACACATTTACGTCATATATCCCTTTACTGCTTTCTAGAATATAATAATTATGTGAGAATCATAAATTTGGAATTAACCGTATCTTGAAAATTTTGGAATGTCAAATGCACCTTATATTTTGAGACGGGGTTGTAGTTTACTTTGATTATTACTTCTTAAGGACAATTGGTCATTAGTCTCAGCAAACAACCTTCTCTACGTGGAGTGGGTTAGAGCCATAGAAAATGTGCTCCAAATTTCGGTGCAGATCGGCATCAATTGGTGTCCAAAAGGAATACGAAACCAGTGGGCCTTTCATTTCACACCATGAATGCTAATAAATAAATAATGTAATAGGTCAAACGGCTATCAACATTGTACTCTAAAGTTTTGAGAAAAAATGTGTACCTTTTGTTGTGCTTTGCACAATAAAATGTAGTATTCCTTCGTTCCAAATTACATGGCTTTCCAGATTCCCGTGGTCAAAATTTATTTGAACCTGACTACATGTATATCAAGGGAACTTATTTAGATCCATTTAGATTCATACTGAATATTTTTTCATTACATATTTTTTCTTGTTTTTGTAATGACATGATTTTGTTAAGATTTTTGTTGGAGGCCGTGCCAATATCTAAGACATCATGTGTTTCGGAGAAGAGAGATTAACCTTTTGGATATGTCAGCTATACTTCTAGAACTCGTCTGCTGAACTCTTATTTACATACCCTATAACATATTGTCTATAAACGATAATAGGCGTGAACAGAATATCCCGACACGTATATATTTTTTTCGTGCAAAACAAATCCAACACAGCTTAGTCATGTAGCCACGGGTTTTCAATTTCACCTTCGTAAACCGTCTTTTTCAAAGACGTTGCTTTGCACCATTATATTAGCAATAAAATTTAGTTGTGTCTATCCAAGAATGCAGGGCCGGTCAGGCCCTGTCCCTCCTTCCAAAATGAAGTTGTTAGTAAGCTTAAGATGTTTTTGAGTTAATTCTTTTTGGCTAAGCCGTTACACAACTAATGCCCCAGAAAGATACATGATGTACTGGACTGTTAGGTCCTTCCTAGTGCTCCAAGGTGTACAGGTGCTAAGGATGCCACATATGCAAAAAAGTGATGTGGCAAAGCAATTAAATAGGAGAGAGCATTATGGCGACATCGGGAAGAAACGGTGCTAAGCACGTGAATCTATGTAAAAAGACTACCAATCAATACACGAGGGAGTTTAATTATTAAACAATTCCATGAGAGAAGCTTAGCTCCCAAAGCTAAGCACCTATGCATTGTGAAAGACTAGTTGCTAAGATTTTAAATGCACTTAACATCTCATCTAAGCGCAATGCATTGGAAGAGGCCTTAGGCTAGTCATAGTGGGAGTAACGTAGATAGTAACATGCATGCCGCATAGGCAAGAAATATGATGTGGCAAGTAATTAATAAGAAGAGATGCAAATGGAGTAACATAATATTTACCATCATATAGCGGTTTCCAATGTGAAATGAGTCTAAAAAGTAATAAATTAAGCCCTTTATGTTACCACATGTATGACACTACCCACTATGAAGGTAGTAACATAAAGTAGTAACATATGCATGTTACTAGTCTAAGTTACTCCCCACTATGACTAGCCTTAGCGGTTTTTGACCACTTGTGTTGGTTGGGGGTGGGACACATGCAACAATCAATCAATCAATTAATGGTTGTACTATGATTCGTAGGTACTGAATAGACCTGCCAATATTGATAGGGGTTATTTCCATGTGCTGAAATTTGGTGCTTAGCTCAACCGCTGCCGACGCATTACATTGTACTACCCAAATATATTGGTACCCACATACAGGACCATACTTATTAGTAGCTACATGCCTGCAACCAACATGTTTGATCCAACGTTAAACCCAATCGAAACCTTGTAGCTAACTAGAGTACAAACTAAGAAGCAAAATTATGATCAGTGATTTGGCGTGTGATTTGATCAAGGATGAATGTAGGCATGTTTTGTTTGCGTCGCTGTCACCGCTTGAGAGGCCTTAATCTACCCACGTGTGTCTTAGGCTAGGGATCATCCCCACCACATATATATCTTTGCATATGCCTTGTAATATATCTTTTCCCTCATTATTCATTAATATGGTCGACGCCTTGGGGGCATGATGTGAAGCTTCACCTGCACCTTCTCCTTGTCTTGCCTTTCCCAAGGTTTATTGATAATAACTAGCAAGGTTGATCAAGCAAAACTAATAGAGTGTTTTTTTGGAAATGGGCGTACCCCGGCCTCTACATCATAATGATGCATGCAACCATCTTATTAAAAAGTCTCGAAGTAGCACATAGTCTCGAAGATAACCTGCAAAAAAGGATAGTGTTTTGTCTGTTAAAAATCATCTCATTTCTACAATTCCATATAGCCCAAAGAAGCGCACATATTCCGATCCGAATACGAGCCGCAGTAATATACTCAACCCCAGCTAACCACGTCTCAAACAACGATTCAATGTCAACTAGAGGATTAATGTTAAGGGCTATATGGATCATTCTCCAAAGCAATTTGGCGAGTGGGCACTCAAGGAATAGATGTTGTATTGTTTCATCATGATCACCAAAATAACAACGTGAACTACCTACCCATCGCCGCTTTATTAAGTTATCCTTGATGAGGATTACTTGCTTGTGAACAAACCGCATAAATATTTTAATATGCAAGGGCACCTTAACCTTCCAAATATGTAACGATCTCGAGATTGGGCCAGAATTAATCAGATCCATGTAGAAAGATTTCACCGTAAATACCCCATTTCTGGCTAACTTCCAGTGTGTCGAATCCGGTTGGTCGGATAATTGAACGTCTATCAATTTCCGAACCTAGTGCATCCAGGCCTCCCATCGCTCATCAACTAACTCACGTCTGAACTGAATATTCAAGGGAATCATTTGAAATATTGTGCCCACGTAATCCTCCTTACATTGCACAATGTTATAAAGGGTGGGATATTGTATAGCTAGGGGCGTTTCTCCTAACCACGTATCCTCCCAAAATCTTGTTGACATTTCATTGCCAACCAAGAATTTGACCCTACGAAAGAAACAGTCCTTCGTTCTCATGAGTCCCTTCCAGAATGGAGAGTCAGTGGTCTCACGATAACCCAAGCGAGCATTTTCGACTGTAAATACTTATTGCGTAGAATCTGTGCCCACATACCCTCCGGCTCTGTCTCTAACTTGTAGAGTCATTTACTCATAAGGCATTTATTCTTGATTTTCAAGTTCTCAATACCTAGCCCCCCTGGTCCTTGTGACGACAAAGGATATTTCATCGCACTAGACGGTATTTCCTCTTGGCCTCATCTGACTGTCAGAAGAATCGAGATCTAAAGAAATCAAGTCTCTTCCGCAGCCCTTTCGGAATCTCGAAGAACGATAGCAGGAACATTGGCATACTAGTAAGTACCGAGCTAATCAGCACTAACCGACCTCCATACGACATAAGCTTGCTCTTCCAACAACTAAGCTTTTTTTCAATTCGATCTTCAATGCACTTACATTCTTTAATAGATAATTTACGGCGATGAATCGGTATGCCCAAATAACTAAATGGCAAAGAACCCAATTCACACCCGAACAGTTGTCTATAAGTGTCTTGCTCTTCTTTGGCTCTTCCAAAGCAAAACAACTCGCTCTTGTGAAAGTTTATCTTTAGGCCAGACAATTGTTCGAAGAGACATAATATGACTTTCATATTTCGCGCTTTTGCAATGTCATGTTCCATGAATAGAATAGTGTGGTCAGCGTACTGTAAAATGGAGGTGCCCCCTAAGACTAGATGAGGGACTAAACCCTCCACTTGACCATTATGCTTGGCTCTGCCTATAAGAATGGTCAACATACCGGCCATTATATTAAATAGGAGAGGAGACATGGAATCCCCTTATCTCAATCCCTTGTGTGTCTGAAAGTAATGACCGATATCACCGTTGACCATGATGCCGACACTACCCTTCTGGACCTGAGAACCCACTTGGTTCTGCCAGGCCTCACTAAATCCTTTCATGC